TAATTGTTTATCCGCTTAGAATCTATCGATCCTACTAGAACTTTGTTCTAACAGATCTGACCTTTCCATACCCACTAATCACGTAAAGGTGAAACCTTTACACTCATGCAACACATATATGGTTCATTTTGAAGAAATAGCCTCAAAAATGGCAACCTAAGTTCATTCCTTCCATAACACTTCATAAAGCACGATGGATAATGCTCTCTGGACCTCTATGGGTCCAAATCTGAAGTCTAACACATAAAGGGACCATAAACTCATCAATTCAAGCCATAAAAAGGGTATAGAAAACCCTAGATTCATAGATTTTAACCAAAACAGAAGGAGAGTTCGATTTGCTACCTCAATACTGCAGATCCAAGCTTGAAAACCACGGATTAGCAATCCTCTTGACCTCCTCTAGCTGGGAACACCTTCTTCTTTGCAAAATAACACCAAAAAGGATTAAAATGGCTTGCTCCCACACACAACTCGCCCAAGCTCTCTAGGGTTTCTCTCTCTGGACTGGTAGCCGCAAAATGAGGGCTATAAGGACCCTTAAATAGGGCACAGGCCCAAAGATTTAGGGTTTCTGCCGTCAGCACTGACTCGTCGAGTCACCCTGTCGACTCATCGAGTCCATTCATTAATCTAGTCAGCAAAACGTGATCCTACTCGACGATTCTAGGCGTCGACTCGTCGAGTCCTTCTCTCAAACTCAAAATAAATGAATAACATAGAATACCTGGGAATCCGGATGTTACACTCACATTGCTGAAAACTTCAATTTCACTCGGGTTTGATTCACTCCCTAAATGACAAATGGGGTTTCTCTGTTCTATAAACTTTATAAATAACTATTCCTGAGATAATTTTGTGTGGCTTTTGTTAATTGGATGTGTTTATATTTATCATGTGTAGATGCTTGATGAGACAATTGGTGCACCAAATGAAGAGAATGGGGTAATGTATGAAAATAGTCTGTGTATTTGAGTGTAATTGCAAATGAACTTATTGAATAAGGTAAAGTTTAACTTTCTATATATAGCTTTGTTGCATTTCAATAAATATTCAAAAGTATATATTATGATTAGGAATTTGAATTCCAACAACTAATGCATCTGCAAGGTTTATGTCTAATATTATAGCTTTTATTCTTATATTTGTTCCAAAATGCAAGGCGGTTGATATATAAAGAGGATAACAATGTCTGCCATTTTCTTGCTGTTCCATCTCATCACCTTTTATTTTGGTTTTTTTCCTTCCACCACAATCTAATTTAATTAGCTTGATTCCTTTTATATATTGGGAATAAGTAACCGAAGAGAGTTAATAGTTAATGTTTGATGATATGCTTTCAACTCATGGAAGGATACTGGCATTTTTTTTCTTACATTCATTCTTAAGGCTTCCACAAATACCTCTTCTCTTCTCCATATAATTCCTTTTTCGGCAACCAAAGGATACATTTCTATATTATGTATGATCCTTCTTGTTTTTAATGTGGCATGAACAATGAAATTGTGACTTTCAACCTCGTGATTTGGGTATTTATTATATTAGTTCACAATTGAAATACCTAATTTCCAATTTTCATTATGGGAACCTTTAGATTGTGGTCTGCATAATCTACTGCTTTGGTGACCAATGCAAATCGAGGAATTAGATTGGAGATTACTCATAGAAAATTTTGTTACCCTTGCACTTATTTTTATAATAGATTTTGTCCTTTAAGATGTTGTAGGTCTTGGTGGCTTGTGCCCTTCAAAATCTATTACAGATTAGATGCTCAGTACTTCATTCCACTTCTTTATGTTAAGCAAACAAAGGTTAGTTACTTATTTTATTGCATGGATATGACAATACGGTTAATTGAGGGCTTCTTGTTTGAGCTGAAGCCCTATGTAAATTAAATGCCATAAATATTGTGTTCTAATTTATGCTAAACGTAAGAAATAACAATGTTGTTTCATAGGCCCTGATGTATAAATGTCGGCCTTATTAGGAACGGTAGGATAAAACTTCAAATTCTAAGTATTAGAGTATCAGGTATGGGTCAAGAAAGAATAACATTGTTGAAAGGCCACATCAGCATAAATATTCCTTTTCTTTCCACCACATTTTTTTGGGGGTGGTGTTACAAGCCTTCAACGTATTTGTGAGGCCAAGAAAGAAGAAATGAAAAAGAAGGAAGAAAGAAAAAATGGGCGTTGTCATTACCACACCTTATACCTTAACGGGAATCGGGGGTGGTGTTCTCGGCGTTATACCGTCGTTGTCGAGGCCCCATGTAGGCGCCTCCACGGCATTTCCATCCCATACCGAGTAGTCTTATGTACTTGATATTTACACTGAAGTGAGCATAGGCGGATACCCTGCAAAATTGACCGGAATCGTTACCGGAACTGTTGTTTCTAGAATGTTGGAATTGGTGTCAGTTACATACATAGGTTCTTATTTTAATTGAACCGCTCACAGAACCATTTGGAATGTGTTATAGGTTCCTAGTTTCTAAACTTTTTAAAAATTATTTTATTATATTTATTTTTATAAGAACATTTGATAAATAGCGATTAAAGAGTGTTTATAATTCCTAAAAGTAAGTTTAGAAAATTGAGAATTTATTCTTTCAAATGAGTCGGGTCATATTGTAAATGGTAAAGTCATATTAGCTTCTAATTCTTCTATGTTTGAGTTACTTTTGAAACATTCATCAAAAATAAATATGAAATGTACTTGCTACAGTTTTGTAGTATGCCTTAGTTAAAACTTAAATCTATGTATCTTTATATTTATCAAATATATTACACTCATAAAGTTCATCTTTTGGTATTTCCTAAAAAACGTGTGACTGAAAGGCTAATGTTATATTGGTAAGTGTTTTGATGTGTATAAAAATGCACTGGTTTTGTCCTACTTTTAATTATGAATTTGATACACAAAAGGCAGAGAACCTGTCAATTGGTGGTATGAATTAGCAAGTAGGTATCGAACTCAGGGAACGGAAATTAATCTAACTACTATAATTATCTAAAACAATTTAGTAAAATGGAAGAGTTTTCTCTAGTTTTGCAAGACTAGAAACTTCATTAAAATTTAACTAACAATTAACTAACAACTAAAAGCAAGTAAAAATCAACTAAATTCAATAATCAAAAGGGTTTCTGTTTAGGTTCGATTCATTCACTCCTATGGTTAATTTTATGGCAATGCAATGGATTAATTGTTATTGGTTACCGACTAAAGTGATTAGATTCACATCTGCTATTACCAATCCTTAGGAAACAAATTAATTTAAGCAGTGATCAAGTGACTAAACTAATGAATTTCCTAGTTTAATTATTCGAATTAAATAAGACTTGTAATTAGCTAATTAAATTAGTAATTCAATTAACTCCTTGTTGATGCTTTCTCAAACAAGCTCACACATTAATTTACCCATTCTCTAGTTAATCCTAGTTTTACATTCACTATTCCTAGGCACATAACAATGTGCACATAAATTACATGAGATAAGTAATTGAGAGATGTTCATGCAGCTTAATTACTTAGCAATTAACAGAAAATAGTTGTGGTTAATGCATAAGGGTCTTTAACAAGCTTAATTTAACAAAAATTCACCAAATAACAATCAATCCAAACATAAATTAATCCATAGGAGCAAACTTATCTACCCTAAATAGAAACTAACGAAATTAGTTCATAATTACAGCAAATAAAAACCTAAAAACGAATTCAATCAATCCAAACATGGTTCTATTCAAAGATAAATGGAAAAGTAGACTTATGTTGCCTTAATCTTCTTCGAATTGAGGATTAGGGTACTTCTCACGTTTCTCAGATCTCCAGTAGTCTTCTTGGTCGCCAAGTAACCTTCCAAAAAGTCAGAGAGAGTTTTGGACTCGGAATTCACCTTTATTTATAGTTTTCAGAAAACAGAGGCTACTCGTCGAGTAGCAAACCGACTCGCCGAGTCCCCTTGAAGAATTCGTATACGGTAAGGACTTTGTGTTTTACTTCGCGAACATTCGTGCCTACTCGTCGAGTGCTTCAGGATTTTGGTTCTTTTTCTTCCTTCTTCAATTTCCGAGCCTCCGAATACCTCTCCTGCGTCCTTTTGCTTCCGAGCATATCTTTTGGTCTGAAAATACAATTTAAACACAATTAAGCACCTTTTGTCCATAATTTGCAAATAATTAGCCAATAAATAATAAAAATCTATACTAAATATATAGCTAAATATGCACATATCATGTTTAAACATACAATGTCTTAATAGTAAAATGCTTATGCTTACAACAATGATGTTAAAAGTTTTTAGCTAAAACTTTTTACTATATTTACAAATACTGTACATTTGACATAAAAATTGAAAAAGAACTACAATTTGTGGTTCAAGCATAATTAACCAATAGAAAAGAATACAAGCAAAACTTACATTTTCATGCTAAAGTTTTAATAATGAGCCAAATTTTGTGTTATCATAGTCATTGCAGTACAATCTTATAATCTGGTAGCTTTCAATGTGCAATGCCTTAAAGAGAAAAAAGTGAATCGATCATGTGATTTTTTCAGCAATATAACAAACAAATAGTAAACTGCAAGGAATAACATGTTTTAATTTTTATATTCATATTATCATTGTACATAACTTTTTACATGTAATAAAGTTGAAGTTATAGTTTTTTTTCCCAAAATAACAATGTACTTACAATCCTTTACCAATCATAGTAATGTACTTGTAATTATAAAAATATACATCCATTTTCATTTATAATTCAAGAATTTTACACTGAAAATCCACTTAGCATCATATAAATTACATAATGGTGAAAGAAATACCCTAATTACCTTCTGTGGCCCGTGCTTAGCATGGGCATCAAACGTTTTTAATATATATATATATATATATATATATATATATATATATATATATATATATATATATATATATATATATATATATGATTTGTGATTAAAAGTTAGAGAGCAAAGGAAATAAGGCCCGATCAGAAGGTAGGTAAGGCCCATACCAATGCAACGAACTTTGAGGTTAGAAATGTAATTTTCACGTTACCCTCCGGAGACAAAAAGGAGTTCACGGCAAAAACTTCTGTTCACGGATCAAAGCGAAGAAGACGATGGCTACGACGTCGTTCCATCGTTACGCCGTCGTATCGCTTCTCATGATCTTCTTCATACAACCTTCGATCTCCATTTACTGCGACGAAGATGATTGCTACGATCTACTAGGGTTAGCTATAAATTACCCTCTCCCCTCTAATGACTAACAGTTTCACTTTCACCCCTTTATTTTAACTAAAATTTTGTTGATTGATTACTCTAGGGTTTCTCAAAATGCAAATGCATCTGAAATCAAGAAAGCTTACTACAAGCTCTCATTGAAACAGTAAGATTCTTGTTAATTTATGTAATGTACAGTCGAATTAAGTTTGTTGTTTGATATTGAATCGAATTTTGTTTTTACAGTCATCCGGATAAAAACCCAGATCCCGAATCGAAAAAATTGTTTGTAAAAATTGCAAATGCTTACGAGGTACCCAATTTTATTTGAACTTCTCTATCGAATTATTTGCAATTTAATGCTCTACATACCCTTCACGCTCCAAAAGAGAACCATAAGTTACTTTTGAGGTCAAACAGGTTAATTATCGACTTCAAAATTGATGTAAATTTTAAGCTTTTGAGATAATTTCTTAACCGTATTAATCTATGGCGTAAATTCGTATCTGTTTTTTATCAGTTTTGCTATTGAACTGTTTAACGAAAAAATCTAAAGGTTTCTATTTCTGTGTATGTATCTATTTTGAATAACATAGTGATGCATTAAACTATATATCAAGTACTGAAACATAACAAAGAGTATGCTGCTTAAAGGAATAATCATAACATAGGGTTATGAACTTGTGTTTCATGGGGTAAAATGACACTTGTCCCTTTCCATTTTCTTTCATAGATCTTAAAAGATGAAGCTACAAGAGGGCAATATGATTATGCAATTGAGCACCCAGAGGAGGTAAGTTATAGAATTCATTGCTATATTTCAAATCATTATGAAGTATTTATGCTTGTATGATAATTATTCCCCCCTCTCTTCCCAATTGCAGGTGTTTTATAATACAGCTCGCTATTATCATGCTTATTATGGTCACAAAACGGTTAGTTTAAATAAACTTGCAATTTGTATCTTTCTGTTTTGAAGTTTGTAAATTGTAACAAATCTTTATTACATTCTTTTTATCATGTTTAAATAGGATCCTCGTGCTGTTTTAGTGGGACTTCTTCTAATTCTCTCAGCATTTCAATATTTGAATCAGTGGACAAGGTATCATCAGGTAAATGACATGCTATTATACCTATATACATGTGTTTCTTTTTTACTCAATGCACAAATAACGACTTAATAGAGAAAGTTCTAAATCAGGGAAATGGATATAGTAGTTGAATGGATAATGATGTATGTATAAAGTAAGTGTTGTATACAAAGATAATGTTTTTTTTTTACTGAATGAAGTAATAAACTGTCTGAATGTGAGTAAATCACCATTTGGTCCTTCTAACACTCCAACAAACAAATTTCACCATATTCATCACTATTAACATTTAAACAAATCAACAAATACAAAAACATCAATTCATCACTATTACCTTTTTATAGGCTATTGACATGGTGAAAAGAACACCAGCATACAAAAATAAGTTGAAGGCATTGGAACTTGAACGCACTGGAGCATTATCAAGCAAAAAGAAGGGTGGTTACAAGCTTGACAAGTATGAAACAATCTCATTTTCTCATTTACTTTTTTCATTTTTTTTTTTATTTTTTTAAATTAAATCCTTTGTTCAAGATTACTCTCTAAGCTTTCTACAGCTATTTTCCATGATGAGGGCATTTACGTCTTTTGCACAAACAATGTCAGAGAGCGAATCTTGTCCCACCTTTTTTGGGTGTGTGATAGGCCCTGATTCTTTCTTGAATAAGGCACAGATTCCATTGATAATCAAACTATGAAATGATAAGATAGATTAGGGTTTTCCCATTCATTCGAGAGGAATGGACTCTCCAAGAAGAACAAAGTTCTTAACAAATCAATTCTTAGCTGCCAACTTCCTAAAACATAAGGACTATATATACTATCACTAGAGACTAGAGACAAGACAAAAGGGAATAACAGGTGATGTTCCCACTAACAAAACAGCCAATAGGAAAATAAATAGATAAAAGACAGAAATACCCCTATGCTATAAACCAGTAAAGTTGGGGCTTATCAGTGTGGGACAAAAAGTTGCAGTTTTTTGTCCCATTGACCTCTCACACAGTCACATTTTTGGATGAGGAGGGCATTTACGTCTTTTTTGAGAATTAAGCAAGAAATGTTTTTTTTATATGACAGGAAAACACAGGAAGAGCTGAGCAAGGAACTTGAACTACAGATAAAAGGTGCTGAAAAGCCATCAATGTGGGGACTTCTTGCTGTTCGTTTTATACTCTTGCCATACACTCTTGGAAAGGTCTTTTTATATATCTTCTTATTTGAAATTTGTAGCATATATATATATATATATATATATATATATATATATATATATATATATATCATTGATTTTTTATTTTTTATTATTTTTTTTCCAGTTAGTTTTATGGCATGGATCTTGGTATGGAGATACAAGATAAATAGAACTTCGTATTCTTGGGAAGATGCATCTTACTTGACTAGAAGAGCTCTTGGGGCACCTCCTGATTCATGGGAGTATCTTGGTAAAACTTACTTTATTTATATTTATTTATTATACAACTATTTCACAACATTTATGTTTTTTATTTTCTTTGATTTATTTTAAATATCTCCTTCCTTTCAAATTATAATTATACTACTATGAATTTAACCAATTTAATTATTTAGTTCTCTGATTCTGATTCAACTTCTACCAAGAATTATCTTTTCGCTATTCTTAACATTGTGAACCTTTAGCTATATATGTTTTTTTTTTGTCATTATCTAAATGTTGAAAAAAAAATTCTGATATTTTATTTGCACAATTTTCCCCTTTTTATCATGAGAAACATGATTGTAATTATCTTTGTAAACCTCCTAAACTTTCTCAACTCTTTGTCATTTTGAAATTTAAAATTTTGAAGATGGTAAATTTCATAGCAATTTTTTTAGGTGATGCATTAGAATAATAGATTTTATTTATATTCTTTTATCTGCAAAACACTACAACTGAACATTTGGTATTGTAATTGTTAGATGAGTCAACCAAGAAAGATCTCATCAATCGACGTTTATGGGTGAAGTCAAACTTAGAGATCTACCTTGCTGAGATGCGAAAAGAGTCAAAGAGGAGAAGGTAAAATGAACCGGAAGTCAAAGGTTTGACTTTGACTACCATTAGTCAATAAACCAGAATCAAATTACAGAAGATTAAAATTTTTGATCCAAGTAAACTCATGATACACATTACAACTTACTATGCCTCTATAGCTACTCTTTTCAGTTTTTTTTTTTTTTTTTTTTTTTTTTTTAAATTAATATAGAAATCACAACCCAATACTTATTAATTGGAATAGTTTGTATTGAAGAATATTAGATCGTGGGAGTTGACAAATGGTGACATGTACTTCTATCTAAGAGAACTTTTGTTAAATTTATTTATTCGATTGTTCTTGTTTATTATAATATTGTTATGGTATTTATAAGGGAATTTTGATTGCAAGATCCACACTTGAATATAGATGAAACCTAACCCTGCTTCAATCTAATGGGCCATGTTAAACATGCTCTTGTGTGTTAAAACATGTACAATTTTTGATGTGTATAGAGGTGTGCAAAACGGTTTAAATTCAAACGGGTCTTGTTTTTTCTACAGTATTCAAAACTGATTTGAGGCAAAACCGGTTCATGGGAAAGTTCAAACCTATAGGCCTGGTTTTAGTGAAACTGGTTTGAAAAAAGTATGTTTTCATCATCTTTTTGCAATTTTGCAAAACTCGATTTTGATGTTAGGGTCTAATGAAATTTCATGGTTGATCAGAAATGACCATTCAGGATCGTTTAGGAGGTTAAAAAACAAAGTGTATTTTGGCACATGAGACCTGTACAAAGGCTGAAATTCGATCTTGGAAAACCTCCAAAATATAGTATCAAGAACAATGAGAAGAAATAATGGGTGGAAATGACATTTTTATACTAATTAATGGAAATGACATCTCTCAAACTATTTTCTAATTCAATCGGGTTCAATTTCAAAACCAGTTTCTAATCCCAAACTGGTTTTTTGTCCACCTCTAGACATGTATTGGACTTAGATTATGACATGTGTCCTATAAAAAAAGTGAGACAATGAGATATGGACTCTAAGGTGATGTTTATTTATTTTTTACCTTTTTACCAAAAAGCTTCTTGACCTCTTATGTTTTGTCATACACACAGCGCGCAAACATTTCCATCTACAACCGTTTGTTTTTTAGAAGACCACAACCTTAAACTGGTTTGTGCGTCCTCTTAAATGGGACAAGGTCTTCTAACCTCTTCTAAGTTATAAAAAATAATAGCACGAAAATCTTTTAGCAAATCGTGCTACATGTCATATCTTGATATTAATCGGCCACAATTATCTATATACTAAAAGTAATAAATCGGAAGCATGCCTTTTTCACGTCAACAAACAAAAGTGTCATTTGTGAAAACAATAATACGACTAAACACATCACTTGATAAATTTTAGTATAATAGAACGCTATTTTTTATCAGTGAATTAACATTTTTTATTTTTATAGAAATTGTATATTTGTTGCTAAATGTAACACCCGTTTTCCAGGATAGATCATTTAAGGGCTTAAGGGATTAAATGTAAGGTTTTTGGGAAAAAAAAACCATGTGCCACGACATGGAGAATGAGGTGCCAGGACGAGGCATTGCAATTTCAAAAAACATGTGTTTGGATGGCCGTTACGATGTGGCAAGATGAAGACCATGGCGTGACAGTCGATGCAGCCCAAGCCCGCAATTTTTAGGGTTTTCTCCATATTTAAGCACATAAACTCAAGATTTAGGGCATCATCTTCAACTTCCAACCCTTCCATACGAAACCTAGCCTACATGCATGATTGAGGGCTTGATTTCTTGATTTAGAACTTATTCTTTGGATTTTGGTGAATCTTTGGAAAGGAGAGGTTCATCTTGGTGCAAGGAAGTAAGCATCAAGCTTGGATCCAACATCTTCATATTTCTGAGCTATTTGAGGTATAAAGTTCATACCTTGGCACTTATTCTTCTAGATTCAAGTTTGAGGTCATATTTTGGGTGGTTTTGGTCCCTTCCATGGATGCTCTTGGAGTTTGAGAACTCCATAGCTTGGTATGGTTCCTCTACGATCAATATGTTCTATAGAATGGAAAAACGGATCCATGTTGGAGTCACCTTGTGTCCATGCACAAGTTTTGGCTTCATTAAGGACCTTCCCATTGCCCAAAAATCGAGAACCCAAATGAGCAAAAAGAAATCCGAATAAAGCAAAGAAAGAAACTTTTTCGGTGGATGTAGAAGACGAATAAAAAAGTTAAAAAGCTTCAAGGAAACGGGAAATTGACGGGTCAATTATGGAAAGCGACGCTACAATTGGCAGGTCGCGAGATTTCTTTGTGTGGCCTCTCCTTGTTTCTTACAGTTTGAGGTAACTGAGTTTTGTTTGTTTAAAAGCTATAGAGCTAGCGGTGTATCATCTATTGTTCTGATTGGAAGCAGTTGAGGTGGGAGCAGACCAGGGACTAAAGCTGTTAAGCCCTACAAACTATTGTGGGTAATGTCTGAAATGCACAAAATGAACTATTCATAAGATCACTCACTTTTAATATTATATATAATTTCTTAGCTGTTTAAGGTATAAAGTTCATACATTGTCCCTTATTCTTCTAGATTCAAGTTTGAGGTTATATCCGTGTGGTTTTGATCCCCTCCATGGATTCTCTTGGAGTTTGAGGAACTCTAGAGCTTGGTATGGATCCTCAATGGTCAATATGTTCTATAGAACGGGAAAAAAGAGTCATGTTGGAGTCATCTTGTGTCCATGCACAAGTTTTGGCTCCATTATGGAGTGTTTGGTGCATGAAACAGGACAAAACAAAACATAACAAAATTTTTCCAATAGGTGTTTGGCGTAAATGGGACTAGAACACGAGGAGTGGTTGACCAAGTCCAGTTAGTCCCACCCAAAAGGGTGGAACACAAGAGAACAAGAAACAAAATGACCAAAAACTCCTTACCCCACTCACTTCTAGACATCTACCATCCACACAACCCTTCATCTTGTAACACCTGATTCCTGGTATGTATTTTATTCAAGAATTGTATGTATTTTCTCTGGGACTCGACGAGTTGGTGGCCCAACTCGTCGAGTAGAGTCGGGATCCGCGGGAAGTTTAAGTGACCTACTCGACGAGTCGGGAGACTGACTCGACGAGTAGGTGTTGTTTGAGTGAAACCCTAAACTTGAGGGTTTGCACCCTATTTAAACATCTCATCTTAGCCTCCATCGTCCTTATCACTCCTAGAAAGCTGTATATCGAAACCCTAGCCGTTTTTGTGTGTTCTAATGCCATTTTGGTGCTTTTGGTGGATTGTGAAGCTTGAGAAGGAGAAAGAAGCTTGAGAGTTCGAGTGGGGGCTTGGAGATCCAGGGATTTTGTTCCATTTCCAGCTCATTCAAGGTAAAAATCTCTTGTCTTGGTCTTCTATGTGCTTATTCATCTTTGGGGTTGGGGTTTTTGGGAGTTTTCTAAGCCATCTTCGGATTTTGAAGGGATGAATGGAGTTTGACTTCAGATCTGGGCCTTAGGAGGGGTCTCATGGCATAAAGGTGCCAACTTTATGGCCATGAGAGCCCCATACATCTTGAAGATCACCTTTATGGCTTTTTGAGCCAAAGACCCCATGCATGTGCACCAAGTTGGAACTTTACGTGTAAAATGGACATTAGGAGGCCAGATCTATGGTTTTGATGTGTTAAGACTCATTTAAATCGATTGTATAGTAATTGATGGTTTTAGGTGAAACAAATAAACTAGAAAACAATTCCTAAGTTCACATGCAAACCTACTTTGGATCTATGTTTTAACTATTGAACATATAACTTTGAATTGCAAAACAAGAACCCTAGAGGAGAGAGGCTAATTTTGAAATTAACAAACTAGAGTTTAAGAGTTACATACCTTTCAATTGTTATAGCAAACAATTGACAATCCTCTTGATCTTGATCTTGATCTTCTTGGAAGCTTAGCACCACAAATGTAATGCCTCTAATGGAATCACACCCAAGAGCTAGCAAGAAGGAAATTGAAGGAGAGAGAGAGAGAGGGAGTATGTAATTTTCGGCCCTAGGGTTTCCCAATGAAGGAGTGGGCGAATTCAGGAGCTGGGAGGCTCCTTATATAGCTGAGGGATCTAGGGTTTAGGGAAAACCCTAATACTCCTTTGCTTGGGGCCTAAGCTAATCCAAAGGCCTTATCCAAAAGCCCCTTGGACGAAATCCTTAGGGTTTCCCCTATAGATTTCGTCCACCTCCTTCCAAGGAGGTTCTGGAGCCTTCCACTCAACTATCTGATAATTGCAAACTAGTCCCTGCACTTTATAATTAATACTTTTAACCCCAAAATTAATTCTGATTAATTTCTGGCTAACTATTAATTAAACATAATGATTTCTAATTAATATATTAATCTTTTAACATATTAATAAATCATTTATATTAACTTATAATTTATAAATTAATACTCTCCTTTCATAATTTCCTTGTCCAGTTGCTAGGTTTGAGGGCAACCCAAAATGACTGTGCTGCTATCAATTCAAGTACATACCAATTATAGTTATGAGCTTAGACACCTAATCCAACAGTCTCCCACTTGGATAAGTCTGTAACTATAATTGCTAGTATGACTTCTAAATTTGACCAGCAAATTGTAGCTTCCAAAAGCTGCTGTTGAACTCTGACCCAGTCAGTTACGTGTCCTTAGATAAGTGATCATATAATCCTTCGTTATGCAAGATATCCACAGACATAAGACATGGAATATAATCAATCTCTTTGTCCAGAATCTCTATTTCCCGATTTCTGATTTGTGATGATGTAGGACTTCTAATTGAACACATCAATTTAGTCCTGGCTGGGCCCAGCACATAAGTCAACACCAAATCATCGAGGGGCCCACAGATATCGCTTTTTCGGTTAGGGCAAAAGGAACGAATAAACGTTGACTCATTGCTTGTATCTTTTACTCATCAAATTATACATGACAATACGTTTATAACACCAAGTTACTGATGCGTTTTCGTATCACCAATGTATAACCGACTTTGTAAATTACAACTCATATATCTCCATTTCAAGATTATAAGATATTATCGTCTCAGTATTACTCGTGATGAATTCCATGAAGTGATACTCTGAGCGAGGGTTTATCCAATACTCAAATCTCAATTTCTGAGTACTCAT